GGACTCGCTCTGTCGATACTATGACTGGGTCTGCAACCATAGAGGATGCCGCGCTCGTGACTCGAAACCGCGTGGCTATAACAACCCTGGCCTAGCATTTAGGACGACGTGAGCTATGACCGCCCACCGTCGGAAAGGTGCGTGGCTGGCACAAGACGCGTTCTCTTATGCACTCCCCGGGAGCCAGCCACCTTAGCCGGTATTGGGAGGAGAGAATTTATTTTTGGTCTCGTCGACGGCTTCTTACCCGTTTTTTCTTCACTGGCGTTCCATTTCGGATCTCTGCACTCACTTTCAAGCGCAAGAATACCCTCGATCCCGACTCGTGCCTTCAAGCATACCTAATAAGTTACACTACAAGTATACGACACCAAAGTAGTACCTAGGTAGTTCGGCCAATAGAAGTCACCTGAAGTGTAGTTAGCTCCCGTTCGAACGGGTCAATGACGTCACGAGCCATTCCTTCGACTGGAAGAGGGATCATCGGGCAGGTTTCATTTGACCACCATGGCCTTTCCCAGCGGAAGAACATCTTGCACGACCCACCGAATCCTAAAAAATTGCCTGATGGAAAAACTTCGAGCAAAAGTGACAGATTTATGTAGAACTACGAACCAATCTTCTCGATTGCTTCGATCTTTTGGCGTGGAAGTGGAGGTGTGAACAATTTGTGGTGGTACTTCTTGAGGTGTCCCAATGAGGATGTGACAATCACGTAATCGTACATCTTCGAGATTTTCCCCTTGGAGGTCGTCAGGGTAACCCCAGACGCTGAGTGGTTGATGTTCAGGATAGTGGTATTGAAGTGGAACATGTATTCTGGTATAGCTGCTCTTAAATGCTCAAGTATCGCTTTGTAGCCAATCTTGTTCGTGTGAAACGATTCGCCTTCCGTTCCTTTATCGTTCCATTCGGTCAGCACTCGGGGGCTGAGCTGAAATTTGTGTTATTATGTGACTGCTTCTCGGAACTTCGCTGAACGAGGAGCTAAAATAACACATCAGCCCAGTCAGCTGCCCATTCGAATTCCCAATACGACCTGTAGGAGCGGGTAAGAGCGTCGAAAACATTTCGTCTGAGTCCAGTGATGTTGTTCACCTTGAAAGCGATTTTTGGAAGAGAGCTTGCCTACATACAAGATGTCCTCACCTTTAAAAATAATGTATAGTCTTCCATGAATATACTTTTAATCGTGTAGACACGCGATAACAAATCATGCTGCTTTGCCAAGTTGACGATATTTGGGATCCAGAGGCTCTACGAACTTCGTGAACAGCTCAATGTCCTGCCTAGGTGGGTAAAGGATTGAAGGGAGTAAGGTTCAGTGTCTTTACAAGCCTGTGTGAGTCCAAGCTCAATCAATACTTGCTAACATCTCGTCTTTGCTTCCCCTACAAATTTATGGTTACGAAAGAGGTGCTCCGAGAGCAAGAGGCACCGCAGAACACGCACATCGCTGAAGGGTCGTTCGCCTGATCGGCACATACAGTAGCGGTCAAAAGTTTGGAAACTTTTTTATTTTTGATCTAGCGCGGCCGACACATAACGAAATTGCCTCAAATTTAGATATTACATACAAAATCAAGTCAGAATACGACGGGAAGAATAATTTCCAAAAATCTATAATCATATTTGAGAAATAAGATTTTTTTCAAGTAATGGCGCGTCAAAAGTTTGGAAACTTTTTGTTTCCTTCATCATTATGATTCCTACTCTTCAATGTTTACTTGTTTCTGTTAATTTTAGTTCTACCATTGAGTGTTATGTAATTTCAAAATATCCTTCTTCAAACCCTGCAATCCAGAAAGCAAAATTTATCTGGTTCCTTACAAGGGAGGTCTTTCAGGGCAAGCCGCGCTTTTTCAAAACGGTTTTTGCATATTGTAGGGACGCATGTATGGACCACAAAACCATGTTTCGTTTTCGCTGAACGGTTTTAGTAGTACCAAAAAGTGAATGATACCCTTGATGGTTCGATCCCCCGCGGCGACTAAATTTTGCAATCAAGGTTGGCGGCCACTTGTTGGCTTCAAAATGGTCCTGACGATGAACTTGACATCTGATTTTGATATTTAGCGCGATTTGGCACCAACCCGTAGGCGCCAACTGCTGAATTCGCTTTGAATTGAGAAGTTTCCAAACTTTTGACGCGCCATTTCTTATAAAAATTCGTATTTTTCAAATGCGATTCTCGTTTTCAAAAAATCATGTTGCCATCGTAATCTACACTTGATTCTGTATATAATATGTGAATTCGGGACAATTTCATTGTCTATTGGCTACGCTAGATCAAAAATAAAAAAGTTTCCAAACTTTTGACCGCTACTGTATCTGATGACTTTGCATCAACTGGCTCTCGTAAGTCGTTGTGTAGGCCATATCGTATCAAGTATAGAAGGGGGAGGAGGAGGCAGTTAAAAAAAGAAAGATATTCCAACGGAATTAGACACATT